GTGTTTACCAATAATTGATATACGTAAACATTACTATACTATTTACTTGAAATTGTATAATTTATTTTTTCTGTACTTTTAGATTTTGAGTTTATTTTTTTCCTGTGTATAACTTTTCTACTAGAGCACTTCCTCCGATCTTTACGTGTAGCACCTTTTCTAAAAGGAATCAGTATTAGGAGGTAATTTTTTGATTTTCCCAAGAGTTTACTCATCAATTGCGAAAAGCCGAAAAAAAAAACGGGAAAATGTACGAAATAAATCTGTATAATATTATGTTTTTTTTTTCTGTGGACAACTTTTCTATCAGCAATCTTGCTCCGATTCATAGAGATAGCAATTTTTGTAAAAGGGGATTTTCCTGAGGAGGTTCTTATGAGAAGTTGTTTTTCGATTTTTGCCGGAGTTTTCTTAGAAAATGTGAATAACTCAGAAAAAACATGGGGAAACCCAGAAAAACGTGAGAAAACAGGGAAAATCGATACAATATTAAACATATACATTAAAGTAAATAATTTATAGAACTTTATAGAATATTTATAGAATTTATTTATTTGAATATTGCAGTTCTGGTTTTGATTAGGTTCCTTGTAAAATAAAAGCAATTCCGGTTTTTTATGTCGGTTCTGAAAATTTTAAAATTTCGGTTTCGGTGTTTAAAAAAAACTAGAATTTCGGTTCCGATTTTTAAAATAACAAAAATTTAGGTTTCGGTATCTTTTCGGTTCTTAAAATCTGAAAACTTTGATTCCTGTTTTGGATTTACACTTCCGTTAGAAATTTTGTTTACTCTTCGTTGGCGTCAATTAAGCCGTCATTGCCAATTTTCTACTACATGCTGTACGTTATATAACGTCAAATAACAATAATATAATGTAATGTACACAATTATGAAATGCCTAGTTATTAATAAACATTATAACCAAATTTTCAGAATTATTTGTTATTGTGGGAACTAGAAGACTTATAAGTACATATTGTGCAGTAAATAATGACTTTTATTTTTATTGGGAATTCCTCTTACATTATCAGTTGTTACAAACAAAATATATTGTATGATTATTTTTAAATACTATTAATCCTCTTAATAATAATAGATTTACGTATTTGTTTAGTTCTTATTACCTACCATTTACCAATGGCAAATTTAAATAAAATTAATGAGGTTATAACAAAACCAAAATTAATCGTAAAAAACGTTTATTCAAAAGTATGGTTGGCAGTTAAGTTCCGGTTTTAAATAAATTTAAATAAGTGTTCCGGTTTTAAAATTAATTTGAATTATTGTTTCTGTGAGGTTCCGGTTCTCGATATTCAACTGGTTCCGATTTTAGTCTCGGATATATATACGTTTTTTTTTTTTTTTTGGCAATTTAAAGAGTTATGTAAATCTCATACAACCACTTTTTAAATAATCCATTTCACTAACATATTCAGAGATTGGTGAATGATTTATACGTGCAATAAGTGAACATCAGGGTTTTATTCATTATTGTATATTGGTACAAAATTATTAAAATTTATACTCCAAAGTGTTATTTTATAAAACAAAAACCTTGTACATTTTTAACAATTATATTTTGCACAGTTTATATTGAACAGACATTTTTTTTATATTGACTTTTCCCACAATAATGTACATTCACTAAATATATCTACCTAATATCTACCTATGAAATATTGAAGAATATAATACTTAATACAGATAAATATGTTCATTGTCTGTATGACTATAGTTTATAAATTAAAATTCAATGTAGTTATTATGGATTATTGTAGAATCACTATTATAACTAAATACAATTTAAAAAATAATATAATATAGTACATTTAACTAGGTAATAAATACGTACAATTTATCTCAACAACTTGTTGATTATACGTAAAGTTAAAATATTATTCTATCAAACTACCTATAGTAAATTGATTTATTAAGATAATTTCAATATAACTGATACGACTAACATAAAGCACATTGTTATAAGGTATTGTTGATTTATAACTTATGATGAAATTGTTTTTTTTTTTTTTAGATAATGGAAATCAAAACAAATATAATCGCAATTTATCAACTATTGCTAATACACACATACAAATTGTTAATAGGTTCCAATCAGTTTTAGAAAACGTGAATAAATTAAAAACATTGAATAACAGCGCTCAGTATAAATACCTTACAAATGTAATACATTGCATACATTCATTCGCCATCTGTGCATTCGTGCACAGCTATACGAAATGATTTCTCTAAAAGTCATAGTAGTTTTGGCGCTCGCTTGCTCTGCAAAGGTAAGTTATTTTTTCATAAATGTATACTTATAACTAATAATTAATTGTATTTTCTATTTGAAGGTTGGAGCGACCTGTGTACGTTTGCCACCACCTCCATTAAAACAACCGTGTCTTCCGGCACCACTTCCACTGCCACCACCCGCAGCACCTTTGCTACCACTTTTGCTGGGACTTTTACCACTTTTAGGGGCGGCCGTACCACCACTTTCTGCCCCACCACCACCACCACCGGCCCCATGTTTACCACCGTTACCACCTAATTTGTTACCACTTCTCTTGTCACTTTTACCTTTATTAACTGCTCCACCACCGTGTACTCCCACTCCAGTACCAATCCCTCTTTCACTTCCTCCTCCACCACCATGCCAACCAGCTCCAATTTCTCTCCCTCCTCCGCTTCCTCTTCCACCACCATGTCTCCCAGCTCAATTTCCACAACCTCTTCCACCACCATGTCTTCCATTTCCACAACCTCTTCCACCACCATGTCTTCCAGCTCCACTTCCTCTTCCACCACCATGTCTTCCAGATCCAATTCCTCTCCCTCCTCCATTACCTCTTCCACCACCGTGTCCCCAATCTCCGGGCTTGTTAGCTGCGCTTTTACCGCTCTTACCATTGTTAGCTACTCCACCACCATGTACCCCGGCTTCACCACCACTTCTTCTTCCACCATCGTGTCCTCTACCTCCGGGTTTGTTAGCTTCGCTCTTACCATTGCTAGCTGCTCCACAGCCATATCCATCCCCTTGCAAATAATTGTGACATTTGGGCTGATAGAATTATTATGTACGATCGATTTACTATTAATTAATATCAACATATCTTCTCATTGGCATAGCAAAAACTAATAATTATTCACTAATTTAATTAAGTATTCTATTACAGATACTTTTTTTTTTACTATTATTAAAATACATTCAATTATATTAAATTAATTTTAAAAAAAAAAATGAATTTTTCATATTGTAAACAATTATTTGATCCCTTGTAACCTTGACAAGTTTTAATGTAAAATCTCTGTGTTGATGACAATATAAAAACTACATACTAGGCTGGTTGAGTAAAGAATTAAAACTTAATGGATAGACAATCAAAGTCTCATTTGATTCTTAAGTGAGAAGCTTAAATTTCAGAGGGTGATCCAGACCCCATAGCCCCCTCTGATTATATGCCTGACCTACGCCGTTACACAAAAAATAGTTTCCCCTAACATTCCCATGCATCCATGATTCTAGACCACTCCGGTATAATTAGTCACGCTATAATTGACAATTGTTATGTATCATTATGAGCCACAATCGATTACCAAAACATGGCTTCTATTTTAGGCCTTAATAATAGTCACTTCTATATTCTCGAATTTTGTGGTAGTGAATTCTGCAATTTCCGTCATTTATTAATATTCTGTCTTGCTCCACTTTCTAAAATATGCAATTTAAAAATTTCTCTCACTTCTATCCACGATAATTTTTCAGATACTAATGCTCTTTACTCTAAAAATTATATTATCCTGATAAAAAATATTATTAAATACATTCTTCGATCAGGTTCTAAAATTTAACTATTATGAACTTTACATACTTTATTCTGATTATAATTTTTTCTGTTTTTATTTTTTTATAATGAGAAATTTTGTTTTTTATTTCTTATATCGATTATTATACTCTGTTTAATTGTCGAAATATAACAATAGCTTATATTAAAGCTTCAATAAAAAAAATATATACATCTATATATTACAATAAAATTATACATTTGTGTACATTAGGTAATAAAAAATATATTGTAAAAATACAAAGTTACATTCAATTATATATTATAATTTTTTTTTCGTTGACTGCCAATGTACCTTGTAAGGTAAAACCTTATAACCTTAAGATATTCCTTAAGTTCCTAGTTCTTTAAAACTTAATAATCTAAGAAATGCATTAATAATATTAATAATAAGATAAATATTTCATACATATTCTTTCCTTTAGTAGATTTAATTCAATAACTAAATTAAAATTATTTCTTAAAGGAAATCATTAATTGATTTTTATTTTTAGTTAAATTAAAAATTATCCAAAACTTTAACTCGTTACTTAACTTTTTACTTTTTAACTTGTTACTGGCAAATTTCATCAATTTGTACAATACGTACAGCCTACGCGTTATACTACAATATTATTATAATAAAAATTAATAATTAGTGAATATAAGTAAAATATACATGTGAGTTACCTAGTGAATAAATTTGTAAAAGTGTGTATTCATTTTTTAAGTGAAGAAATCATAGGTTTTTTTATTTTATAAAATCACCCAACTGTCTAAATATATTTATCTAAAAAAAAAAATAAAATAATGATCATCCTTATCAGCAAGGTAATCTATAAATACTAAAAATAAGAATACTAATCATAGTATTTATTTTTTTTAACTTTTTTTTACTATATCGTTATCATCAAACCAAACCTTAAACCAAAAAAATAATAAGATTTTCAAATCTTAGTAAAATGTATAGCTTTTTCGGTACACACTAGATCTAAAATTCATAAACACTTAACAAAAATCTGATACCTACTTATAGTTTTTAAGATTTACTGCTAATTAAATATTTGATAAAAGCAATACAAACTATGAAGTAGGATACGTATAAAATTTCAAATTTTATCGGAGGTAATAACTACTAAACTCCATCCCTACTTACGCTATTATCTATGACTGTAACCATCGTCCTCTGAAATACTAAAAACAAAAAATATTATTTTATTTCCTAATTACAACCAAATCAACTAAATTAAGGATATAATTCACGTGTGCGCCACTCTCTAGATGCTGAATTTTGAGATAAAAGTAGACTGCGATCTTTTTCTTATTTTCGAAATCAAAACAAACTAACAATAAATTTCAAATTGATATGTGAGATAATATATATTTTTAAATAATAATACTAAAAATATATAAAAAACATATTTATATTCTTATTAGCTAGGCAACCAAACTAACTTCATAATCATTATCCTCTCTCCATTATAGGCGCATATAGGTGAAAATATTGAAAGGACAGAAGTACAAAAAAAATTAAATACGAATTAGTCATTTTAGCACAAGAATAATGAGTTGCATCCGAATTTTGGGTAAAAAAAATAACAATATAACAACCATGTATCCATTTACGAAGTATGTCCGCCTTTTTAATTTTAACAGTTTGATTTACAATTTTTTGTTACACAATATTAAAATATTTTATAAACTTAGTTTTGAAACTATAAAACCACACATGAAACTCGATGACTGCTGCCAAAATAAAAAAAGACGTACATACTTCGCACGTGGATGCAGCCACTGTTGTAGATGGGAAGTTGGAAAGGTAGGATACACAAAGGAATTTAATGTATATCTGTAAACAACGATAAACCATTGCTAACGAAAAAGCGATTCTGAGTTGAGTTCAGATAATGGTGATACTTTGGCAACATTACATATGCCATATTATGGTAAAATAATTATATACTTATTATATATTTTCTTCAACAACATTTGTTTAATATTGTGCCAATTTTCTCGTTTTTCCTAAGTTTTTTTTAGGTTTTTCACATTTGTTGAGAAAACTCCTGGGAAAATCGACAATTAATTAAAAGTATCTCTTAAAAGTATCTTCGCAATCCGATTTTAGAAAAAGTGCTACATCGAATACATTGGAGTAAGCTTTTTGGTAGGAAAGTTGCGCACAGTTAAACAGATATAGAACAAATAAACATCTTTGTAAAACCATAGGCTTCTTCGATCTACTGAGAATCTAAAACTGTGTGCGTAACTCGAACTGGATTATGATTTTATCACTAAATACGAAACATCAAATTAAAGATTTCGATATAGTTTGCACTTTTGAAATAGGGGGTCCTCTTTTTCGGGCCTGGCATTTTGATCCCGTGCTAAACATCAACTATTAGTTAATTTCAACAATAAATTATGTGCCACGAATATTCATGAGATTAGTTAATTTATTGATTTTACAATGTTAGCGATAATATTATATGTACAAATAATCTCAGAATTTAAACGAACATTGTTGATAGATACTCGTAAAATTGAATGTCCAATGTCATGATTAGACAACGGCCAAGGCCATCGCAGTTATTTTGCACTGCTAATCATTAATATTGTTAGAGCAGGTAATACGATTTACTCATATTGTATATTATAACTAGAAACAAAATTATGCGGAACAATGTTTAATTTATCTGTTAACTTACTGATATCGTATCAGAAAAATTATACATTTTTGTTTAAACTGAAAAAATTGATACATAACAAATAAGTAAATCTTTTTAAGATACCTAAACCAAAGCAACTATAGGTATCTAAAAAATACTCAAATTTGATATCTACAAAAAAACGGTGATAATTCGTAAATATTCAGTTCACAAACTGTTTAAACTTTTTATTGAACCAATTATGAGTTCTAAAATTAGGTATAAGCATCTAAATAAATTATGTCTAGAGACGGTAGGTATAATTTATTATATTCAGAATACGATGCATACATTAAATAAATACGAATAAATATATTATTTTTTTTTATAGAAGTAAATAATCACATTTTAGGGTTTACACCAGTTTAATCTAATTAATAATGGACCACTGCGATGGTTAATTCGATTAAACTTAACTATCCAAACATTTCTCACCAAACTATAGATAACATCAATTTTGTTTCCACAAACCGTGTGTTTTTTTTTATCCTAATCTAACTTCCTTTGGAAAATAAGGCGACAAGTAGTATACAACATTCAACTTAATTCCACTTAATTTTTTTAAGCAACTTTTTGTAATGTTATGCTCACACAACATAAGATTATCCATGTACAATTATTTATCATTTATATTAATACAACAGTGTAACTAAAAGAAACAAATACGGCCGAGTATTTAGTATTTTCTAAAATATAAATAATTAAATAAACATAACGAAGCGTTTGCTATTCGAAAGGTATATATACAATATTATCTACAAGCAAAGTAATTTAAAATGTGTCAAATGTAGTAAAAATCCACGCCAACTGCTGCGGCCTCTTGAAGACACTGCCACCTCAGTCATACTATTGTATATTATCTTATTCTTACAATTCGATTATTAGTTATTTTATATCGACATCGACGAGAAGGCCATCTGATCCGTCTTTATAAGCCCACAAATTCTAATGTTTTTTTTTTATCATTCGAGAAGAATCCATATCTGGTCTATTATTATCATTAAGAACATTTCAATATGAGTCAAATAAAATTAAGCAATAGGTACACAACATCAATTGGCCCTTTAATGATACCGCCGTGTCGTCATCATTCTCTCGCACTACATACCCTTATAATTATTTCTACACAAATTTCAAATATATAACATATAAACATATAACACTATTTTTTTATGGTTGACCTTTTTTTTGGCTTATTCAAACATGTAAAATGTAACGGTTTTTTCAATTTAAAATGAATCGTCTTGAATCCTCGAGAAATCCCAATTTATTAGTGACAATTACGTTCGAAAATCTCTCTCGAATAGCTAACCCCGACTTTTAGCATCTATAATCATTCGTGTTTGATCTCTTTATTAATTTATTTTATAATTCAACCTTTTGTTTTCCTAATTTAAAAATAAGGATTTTTATCTGAGTGCACACAGGTGCAATGTGTTAATTAATTAAATTAGTTTATTTCAATTGAATTGTGACTGCCGTCCAACGACTCCAGGATCTCGTCAGGATATCTATAGGTATACACCCTAACAACGTTCAAACAACGTGGGCAGGTAAAATAATTATATTTTTCTTTTATTTATTGATATCGTCACCATTCTCGGATTCACGACTCCGAATCCCTTTAAACATCGGAAGGAAGGTAGTAATATAATAGTTGGTAAGCTGAACTTTTATTATATTTAAAAATAAATCATTTTTTGTAGTACCAAAACTAAACTAATTATTTTACATTATATAGGTACATTTATATTATTATCTTATTCTTTGTAGGTACTACAAATTAGCTTATTATTTTAATTTCCGTTGCTTCTATTACTACAAAATATACTATTTCTTAAATTTTCCCTTTTTTTTTGTATAACTACATTAGAGACTATTGTTTTTCGTTTAATATAGTCTTTGAAAGTATATGCTAAAAATTATAAGTATAGTTTTTTTGCAAGAAAATTATATATCGATGTTTTTTTGGGATGATTAGGGTCACTGTATTTATATTTGTTTATTTCATTCGTTTTACACAAAACTGTCTATTCGAAAAAACATAAATATTGTAACTGGATAATAAATAAACCTAAGTACAAAATTGGTATAGCTATAGTGAAAAATAAAATTATTGTTTTCCCTTATTTTAGCATTAATTCACGAATGTGTTTCTCGGATCCTCGTTGGGTTAAACATCAAGGTTACTCCTTTAATGAATTTAAACTTAGAATGTTTGTAAAATACCATATGAATAGAGAAAAAACAATAATTTAAATTTTAAAATAATCGACATACTTTTGTTTGTTGTTTAAAAACAAGCTGCCCGCCAAGCGGTTGCAAAAATCCACAGCATACTATTCAATATTTGAATACATAAGACAATTTTAAATTTACTATATACATAAACATTACTAAATTTACAATACAAGTGGATAAATGCTTTAATTCCTTAACATTTACGTCTTCAAATTTAAAAGTACATAGATTGTAAAAAAAAAGTTTACATTTTAATTTTTATAAATTATGACAAGTTAAGTTTAAAAAACAAAAGCTAAAAAATTGTAATATAACCTTGACAAATTTGATAAGGTTTTTTTTTTTTTGATAATCATAATCATAACAAACACATTAAATAATGAATTATAACGCATAGGTGATAGGGGATTTCCAATCAGTTTTAAAGAACGTGAAAGAAATTAAAAACATTCACTTACTGTAATAGTATAAAAGCTTTTAGCGTTGTTACATTATAAACATTCATCCATCATTTCTTCATTCGTACACATCGAAACAAAATGATTTCTTCGAGAGTCATAGTTATATTGGCGTTTGCTTACTCTGCAAAGGTATGGTTTTTTTTTTATAAATCTTTAATCACAACTTGTAATTAATTAGGTTTTCTATTCAAAGGTTGGAGCAACCTGTATACCTTTTCCACCGCCTCTATTACCACCACCATGCCTTCCGGCACTACTTCCACTTTCTCCGCCACCATCTGCAGCGCCTTTGTTACCACTTCTACTGTCCCTTTTACCGTTTTTATCTGCCCCATTACCACCGCTTCCACTCCCATTACTTATCCCCATACCATCTCCATGTTCGCCACTACCACCACCATGTTTACCACCACCGTGTCTCCCAGCCCCACTTCCACTGCCACTTCCTTCATTACCACCATCTAGTTTGTTACTACTTTTAAGTGCACTTTTACCATTATTAGCTGCTCCCTCAGAACTCCCTCTCCCACCACCATGTTTACCACTACCAGCATTACTGCCGCCGCCATGTTTGCCACCACCAGCATTACCGCCACCAAAATTGTTACCCATTCCGTTGACGCTTTTATCACCGACATGTCTACCTCCACTACCTCCACCTTGCTTGCCATCATGTTTATAAAGCACTTTATGTCCTTTGATCATTGACAGTCTAATTGCTAAAAATTTAATATTATATTATTATTTTATTTTACTTAATAATATTTAAATAAATTAAATACATTTTTTTTATAAATAAAACCTCTATTTTATTTTATATTTAGTATTTTATTTTATATATGGTCTTTAATCATAACCTACTCATAATTAATATGCAATAAAATCATTTTATGTTGAATATTATTCGAAGGGCTATATCTTGTTAGAACATTTTTTATCGGAACCGTATTTTGTTTGAAAAATAATTAATCGGGAATTATTTTGTCGGAACCGTTCAATATCATAATCATATAATATATCATAAGCACTCCGTAATATGCTATCGTCGTTGCGCAAAAATTATTTTCCGACAAACGGTTCTGACAACATATTTTCTGATGAATTATTTTTCCAAAAAAAAACTTCCCAACAAAATACGGTATTATATATAGTATAAATTAATATGTATGAATAAATAATAAAATGGTCTAACATTTAATGAGATATAATTAAAATTAACTGGGGGAGGGGGTGTGTGTACTGTCACTCTGAACGTAATTTTTTCTTCTCAGAAAAGAAGTTTTATTTCAAATATAACAGTCGGTACTAGAAAAATTATGTTAAATTTTACTGCAAGCAGAGTTTTATTTTTGTATTAATATGCTTATTACAAACATATTAATTACAATTGCTATACAATGAAATATTACAATCCAATCTTTATTTTTCTGTTTATACAGTTGATACAATTTCTATAGTTTAAATAATCAATATTCGATGAATGATAGTGTGCCTGTGTCGTATAGAAATAAATATTATTTAAAGGATATTTTTTTAGATTCTGAGTGGAACGAAGAAGCTTATGGTTTTACAAGGATGTTTAATTTTTTTTTTCTATAGACACATTTTCTACCAGAGAACTTGCTCTGAGTTTTATGTGTAGCACTTTTTATGAATGTAAATTGATATGGGGAGGTACTTAAAGGAGGTTATTTTTTTTATTTTTTCAGAAGTTTCCATAAAAAATGTGAAAAATCGAAAAAATAAAACGAAGGAAAAATTGGAAAAACGTAAAAAAAAAACGGGAAAATCAGTACATTAAAAAAATATTGTTAATGATAATTTATAATGCTTATTTAATTATTTTACCATAATGTGACATATATATTGTTGACAAAGCATCACTATCAGCTGAACTCGGCTCAGAAACGTTTTTTTCGTTAGCAATGATTAATCGTTACTAAAAGATATGCATAAAATTACTTATAATAGTAGCTGCAACCGTCCTCATTATCCTAGGACGTCTTTTTATTTTTCAGCTTGAAAGAAACTCTAGGTTCAAATAATAAATAATGAAATACTTTCATTTTAACATTTTAATATTTGTGTTAATCGTTTAATAATTCTACCTATATTAATACATCCCCCAATTCGCTTGATTCTTGGAAAAATAGTTTAATAATATACAATACTACATTAATTGAACCATTGAGGTAATATTAAATTTCTCTAATTTTAACACTGGTTTATCCAGATTATTCTAATTTAAAAGTCGAATGTAAGAACTCAATGTAAGTAGTTTCTACCTATATTTTAAAATTGTTCAAGAGTTACAAAAATTAAGAAAAATGAACCTATTATTTTGGTAGGCCATCATTTTCCAGAATATAATTATCTGGAATCATAAAAACGCGGAATGTATAATTCTGGAACGTAATACTCCGGAACATAATATCCCGGACTGCAATAATCCTGGATAGTAAATTACCGATGTAACTAACAAATAATACTCTCGGGTTATCTTACACCCAGTACCAAAATCCTAGGATATACTCCTATAAGATTACATATA